TGTCTGTTGGTGTGTACATTTAGATGCTTTCTGAGCTATGTCCCCTGTTTGTCAGGCCCTGCTACAGCTAAAATGGAAGATTTCAAACCTGGGTGTTTCAGAAATGCAGAAAAAACGGTTTGTGGAGAACTCAGAGCCATTTCCAAAGCTGAAGAAGCAGGAAAAGTGTGTGACCTGAGCCCATCGCTGCCGAGGAGATGTGCAACTCAGGAGGGAACAAGGCACGACATGATACCTTTAATTTCCTCATTTCTATCATCTTCTGCAAGGTATTGGAGATGAAGGAGCGATAGAATCAATGATCTGTTTTTCATAACCCTGTACTATATCCATGAGAAGTATCAAAGGCAACACCTCACTGGGTATGGTTCTTGCTAGCAGCTCTTGCTAGTGTTATGTGTCCAGAGGCTCAGTCCCGTGAAGCCAGGAGGGTTTGCTCAGCAGTAGGTGCCTTCAGCAGTGCCTGGCAGGTGCTGATGGTTTCCCTGTTCTGTCTTACTCCAGCCTTTAGGCTTGGTTTTTGTGGTATGGATAACTGTAAAGCATAACTAGTCTTCTGTCCTTGACACCCTTGTAGGAGAGGTGTTCCTCAGCCATTCGGGAACAAATAGGGATAACAGGACCCCAGCCGTTTTCATCATATCCCCAGCAAGACTTGAAATTATGAAGAAAATCCTCAAAGACTGAATTAGGACTTATTTTCCTGTCTCAGGCTAATTTCAAGCCTCCTCTACCAAATGGTCTGTATCATAACTTCATCCTCCCCCATTTGGGTATCTGCCGCCTGCACTCTGTTACTGCGCCAGCCCCGCGAGCAGGCAGTGTGCTGGAGTGTAGTGAAGAGCCTGTTTTATCCAAGGAAAGGAATTCCTTTTCATATTCCAGTATCCTGTCTGCTGCCAGGCACTGAGTTGAGTATCTGCGAAGCAATCGTGCCTGTGAGCTGGAGCCGAGTCAGCATGTCTGGTTATTGAGGCTTGTGTGCTGGAGCTGCCTCTCTCCCTCACCCGGTGGGATGAAGTGTCAGCAGGACGATGCCTGGCAGAAAATCAAGGTGTGCAGGTGCTCTCCTCGAGAGATGGATGCTTTCCCTTGTTGCCCATGGGGAGGGAGAGCGAGCTGTGCCTTCCCCTCGGGTTGCTCAGGGGAAGGAGCTCTGCCCGCAGCATCTTCCAGGTTTCCTGCTGGAAAGGGAGCTGGCCTGGGCCTTTCTGTCAGGTCAGCAAAGAGGCAGCTTCTGTCACCTGCACCAGCCCTGGAGCATGTGGTGGTGCCAAGAAATATGAAGCAAAGAAAGTATGGTTGCATGGAATGGCAGGGTTGTCCTGCCCTGGAATCCAGAGGGATATTCTGCAGAGATGTGAATCTGTCCATGCATCCTCCTCGTGAGCACACCCGTAGCATCTGGACCGTGGACATCGTGCTCTTCTGCTGCTGTTGTCGCTTTTCCATCCATTTGTTCATGGAGAAGTAAATGAATGTTTGTCCTCTGCACAGCCCAGAGAGGGCAGGAAGGGCCTTATGTTGGTTTTTGTGTAAAACAAGCCCTTCTGTTGGAATACCGTGTTTAAAATAATGGAAAAAGAAAAGGAAAGCCCATTTACTGAAATACCTGTCCCTCCCTCTGCCCAGGGATGGTTTTGACCCCAACCTTTCCCATTTCTCTTGGCCCAAACATCCCATAGTTGTTTGAGGCAGAAAATTAGTAGGATGGCTTGTTGCGGGAAGAGTGTCTGATTAGTGAATTCTTAGGGAGTATTGTTAAACGTCTGGTGAACGTACAGCATTTTTGGGTGTTAATATTTTGATTTTTGTCTTTGGTGGAAATGTGCATCTCAAAGGGGTGATCTGCTCTTCAGGAGAACCCCACTGCCAAGTCTTTTCCCCGCTACTGAGATTCATGGAGGTCGGGAATGCTGCCAGACCTGCAAAGTCTGCCGTGTGGCGTGAGCACGGTGCAGGGGTTGGTTTGCTGGTTGGTCCTGGGGTCTTCTGGTGGGGGTGGCTTTCCTGCAGCTTGCTGCTGGGACCACCTGGTTCTCTTTATGGTAAGGTTACCTTCGGGGAAAACTGCTCCCTTGCTGGGGAGCCAGGCGTTCCTACAACAGGAATGGATGGAAATCAGCTGGGATGGATTTCCTGTTTGTTTTTTTTTAAACACCCGTGTTTTCTGGTGCAGGGAGTGACAGGCCGTGGGAAGGAGATGGGTTGTGGCATGAGCGGGGCCTGTGGAAGGAGCTGCCTGGATTTTTCCATCCTGGTGAAGGTTTGTTATCCTGGGTGGACTGCTGTTAAAGCAGGCTGTGCAGTGCTCAGTCCCCAGGCTGTCAGCGCTGAGAACGCCTCCGGCCCAAAGCTTGGGTGCCAACTAATGTGTAGTTGTTTTTAAACTGTAATTCATTCATCGTGGCAAAGGCTGGTGGCCTTTTTATCTGCTGGAGTGGGGAAGGAGACGCATGTTTCAGTGAGGGTTTGCACAGGTGATTTCTATGCAATATTTTGCAGGACTGTGTTAATTGTTCCCCTTGGCCTGCCTGGCAGCATTTTTAACTTTGCTGCCTTTATCTACTCTTTATCAGAATGGTTGCTGTTGAGTTTTTCTGTCCTCCCTCAGAATTTGAGGTGGTTTGGTTTTTTTTTTTCCCTTTTCCTGGTCTTCCATAAGTTCTCCGAGGACGAAGCTTGGCTTTGCTTCCCACACCTTCTCCTGGAATGCAAAACTCGGGCGTTTTTCCCAAAGCCAGGAATGCTTTGTAGGGAGCTGAATTCATCTGCTTTGGTGGTGAGGGGTGGGATGTCTCGCTGTGTGCAAGGAGCACAGACCTGCTCCAGCAAATAGCAAACCGGTGAGGGCTTAGTTGCCCCTCCCTGCTATTCTTCCAACGCATTTTTTCTTTTTAGTGGGAGTAATTTTTTTTCTCTTTGAGCTGCTGTGTCCTTCTGAACCCTCTCCCCAGGCGCTGTGTGGAGTTAGCACTTGCAGCTCACCGAGCAAGCGAGGAGTGCGTTATCCATCACGGGAACCTGGCACCTTTCGGATGTAATTCACTGGCGGAGCGTTAAACATTTCCTCAGCCGTGCTTCAGTGTCAGTAGCTGGAGAGCTTTTCGTTCTTCTTCACCTCCACTGTCTGCACTCTGATGACAACTATCTGGGGAAATCTGTTTTTGTGAAACACTTGACATATAGCGTGACTTCCCTGTCCTAGCAGTTCATGTCAGAGGGCCTTTAAACTTCCTCTAGTAATGGGATTATTTTTTTTCTTCTTTCTTTCTTTTCTTTGTGGCTTGTCACAGTTGCTACCTCTTGTCTGCAGAAGGAGAAGAAGTGAACTTAAAATGTGGTATTTTTCAGTTTGCTCATCCCTTTATTTGCTGACAGAACAGCGGCAAACTGATTGCACTGATCCTTCAGTGTAGGGAGCTGGCAGTGAATAGAGGTGCTGCAGGTCTTTCAACACCTGGGATGAAGGAGAAATAAATATAGATTAATTTCTCCTGGAGGCGTGCTGGAATTGTAGCTCTCCCAAAGCAATTTGGTCTTTGCAGTTATCAGTCTGAACATGGCTAGAAAAGAAAAAGTCAATAGCTGGAGCAGTCTGGGATTGGGGCGGGTCGCAGAGGGGTTGTAGGATCCTGGCTCTGCTGCTGTTCTGCACCTCGATGAAGCTCAGGTACCAGGGATGTGGGGGGATCCTTGCCTGGCAGGATCCCCATGGGTGCCCCAGGGATGCTCTAGTCCTGGGGTAGGAGCAACCAGATGCTTCCAGGCCTAGGACTGAACTGCTACTTTCATAAGGGCCGCTCCATGGCAGGGAAAGGTGTTTGCTGCCAGCTTGGCTGTGCAGAGCAGTCTCACTCCACTGGAGGGTGGGGGGCACTGAGAGGCATCTCCTCTTAGAGAGCAGCACCTGCACCCTGTGGGTTTTGGCCATGTTACCCTGGAGAAATGTCTCTTTCTTTAAAAAGCAATGCGTCTTAGAAATGAGGGGCTGGTGTTTTGCTTTTAAATCTGCTCTTCCAGTTCGTACTGGTCTCTGGCTAGCTGTGGAGAGTGTCTTCCTAATCAAATGCATCAGATCACGTACCGCAGAGAGGGAGTTAATCTGCAGGAGCCCTCCCTGGCACCTCTCTCCCCTGCCTGCCTGCTCAGCTGAGGGCAGCTTGCAGCTCTGCTGTGTGGAAACTGGGGCATCTCTGAACCGGCTTCTTTCATCTGCTTCTGAAAGGCCTTACATCCTCCTGCTTTGCATTTTGGAGGGTTATTTTGGTAGCAAAAACAAGAGCATGGTAGGCTGGGATGAGTGGTCCCCAGGAGGTAACCCTGCCTTTGCACTGCCCTCCTTTTCGGGGGCTGTAACGTGGTACACTAGCTGCTCTCTGTACAGATGGGGCAGCACTGTAAAAACAGGCAGATGTGTTTTCTTCTGATGCTCTGACCATGTTCCTGGAAGGTGTGGAGGAATCTCCTTGAAAATGAAGTTGAGATCAACACAGCTGTTTGGGTAGGCTCACCCCAGCAGGGCCAGGAGGCACCTCTCTGGCACCAGAAATTTCCCCCTCAAAAATTCTGCATGAGTGGTAACACTTCAACAAAATTTTTTTGAGTATAAATTCCTAAGTGCTCTTACATTCAGTAACTAGGAACTGTTAGTTCCTGACTTCCCTTTTTCAGTCGATCCTTACCCCATGCTGCAACAAAGCTTGAGTTTGTTCTGAGCAGTTGGTGGGAAGCAGAGTACACATATGTGTGTGTATGTTCATACATGGATTTTTTTTTTTAAAAATACATGTATATATGAGGGGATGGGAGAGCAAAATGCACAAGAAGTATTTCACTCTTGCCAGAATGCTGCCAGATGTGAAGTCGCTTTGCAGGACAGTGCCTGCCACCCTCAAGTCGCACGTCACTAATGTGTGCACAACCTTTTCGTAAAATATAGTTGATTTTCTCATCCCTTGCAGCAGCAACTAACTGATGTTCTCCTTTTCATCTTGCAGGAGGAGCCGGCTCCCGTGGTGCAGAGCAGGAGGACATCGCTCAGCGGGGTGTGCTACCTGACCATGGGCCTTCTCATACTGCTCCTGGGCTTGGTCTTTGCATCGATGTATGTCTACAGATACTTCTTCATCACCCAGGTAGGGGCGAGTCAGGAAGGACTGCTGGCTCTTCAGCCAGAGCAGCCAGACAAGCTGCTTCAAGGGTTGAAAGCGCTGGTGCTGTTATTTATTGCTTTGCACTGCGGTAACTCAGGAGCCAGTCCTTTGGGCACTGCATATGAGGCACATCTTTTGAGTATAAATACATAAATGCTGTTACATTCAGTAGCTGGGAACTGTTAGTTCCCGATTTCCTTGTGGTAGGCTCAGACTCACCTCCGTCCTCACTGACAGACCTTCTGGAAGCCCTCCTCCTTCCCTCCCTTGTGGCTTTGTTTTGCCTTTTTATTTTTACTTTAACTCCTTAAAAGCGTCCTTCCAGTTCTACCTTTCAAACCCAACATCACCGCTGCCAGGGACAAGGCAGTCTGAAAACGTGGCTTGTTGTGAGTGGAGAGCAAGCCCTGGAGAGATCAGGGAGATACGGGCAAGGGAGTAGCTTTTTGCAGTAGGCTTTTTAGGCCCTAGCACAGCAAAACTCTGTAGGTGTAACAAAAGTAGGTGCCGCTATTAATAAAGCAAGCGGAGAAGTGAAAAGTAAGTGGGAGATGGTATGGAAGGTGAGCCTTTGACCTCCATTGAATTCAGCACCACCTCTTCCATGCAGTCTTTGCAAAGCCTGGCCCAGCGGAGGCGCTGGGCTGGCAGTGTTGTGGTGGGTCAGAGCACAGAGAATGAGGCAGGGAAGAACTGCTTTTTAAGGAGGAAACTGCTGAGCTCTGTGGCTTGCTGAGTGTTTAGCCAAGAAACCCCAGCGCATCGATTTGCACGGAAGCCCTCTTTCTGCTGCAGAGCAGCTATTAGTGAATGAGCTCTCCCAGGACCACCGGCAGCTTTCGTCTCTGCAGCCAGCACTTATCCACTCAGCAGTATAGTCTTTTTATACACTCTCTTGCTCCATAAATTTTCTTGCTGTCAAATTAATTTGCAATCTTTGTTTTAAGATACATCAGAGCTTTATTACCCGTGGTCATTTATACCTCATCTGGAAACCCTTTGACAACCGCAGGGCTGCGCGTCCCTCCCACACACCGCTGTGTCAGTGTGCTGGCACCCTGTTGCAGGGCTTCTGGTGTAGACAGTTCCTTACAAGAAGAAGCCCCCAGCACCAAGAGGATGTTATTGACCAGGTTATGGACAGCGTTCAGTCCATTACCCAGTCAATAATCTACCCTTGGTGCACGCTGAGTGGCTTTGGGAGATGCCCACCGGTCCCTTTGGACCCCCCATTGTCAGTCCCACTGCCTGCCTGCAATACCAGATCACAGCTTATATCTAATTACACTGCAGAGCCTGTCCAACATGGTTAGAGATGCTTGGGGGACCAAAGCGAGGGGGACTTTATGTCTCAGTTTTCAGTGGCTGCAGTTTGTCCCTGTGATCCTAATGCTCATACTTTACCGCTCACCCTGCATTAGCTTCTTTCCCATGGCTCATGCTTCTGCAGCCCTGGAGAGCAGCAGCTCCTGCTTTCCAGTGAGGCAAAGCTGCCTTGTTTTGGTGCATTTGCCATATCCAAGGCACAAGTGCCTTTAGAATGATGCTCTGCTTGCCCCAAGCTTACATGCCTTCTGTAGGAAAATGCAGTTTCCGGAAGCCATGTCTATGGAGGGATGCGAACAGCCTAGTTATGAAATTAAAGAGCCTATAGGCAGTCAGTTTGCCTTCCTGAATTACTCCTCGTGAAATCCCACAGGAAATCCTTTATTCTCTTTGGACCTGGCTAGCAGGAGGGGAGATGTGGTCATCTCTCAAAGGGGTGTTTTGCACTATCTTAACCAAGAACATTTTCTGGTAAAAAAATTGATCTTGAAATATCTTCACGCATCTGTTTGAAAAGAGTGTTTTTTACCCAGTGTGAGTACGTTTCTTCCCATGTTTGCTGTAGCTGTGAGTGGGGTGTGGGGTGTTGTACCTCCATCTGGATCTTGTCCCCACAGCTGCCCCGCGAGAGCGTGTTCCACTGCGGCGTCCTTTACGAAGACTCGCTGTATTCACCGTTCAAAGGGCAGCTGGAGTTGCACGAAGATGTGAAGATTTACATTGAGGAGAACTATGAGCAAATCAACGTCCCAGTGCCCCAGTTTGGAGGGAGCGACCCTGCAGATATCATCCATGACTTCCAGCGAGTAAGGAGCTCTTGGGGCCTTTGGGGGTGTAGAACGGGGGTGAGCTGGGGTGCGCCAAGCACAGTGCTCATGGTCTAGTGCTATTGCTGCACTGTCACATATGTCTACAATCATCTCATTACTGAGCTGTCCTCCTTCCAAAGGCCCTTTCCAAGATTTTCCAACCTGCTTATCTTGCTTGGTAGGGAGGTTCTTGGACACATTTCATTGCGAAGGGCTCAATTCCTTAACTTCTGTGCTTGGAACGCAGGGTCTGACGGCTTATCATGACATAACGCTGGATAAGTGCTACGTCATCGAGCTGAACACCACTATCGTGATGCCTCCTCGCAACCTGTGGGAGCTGCTGGTTAACGTGAAGGTACAGCTCCAACCCTGCTTATTCTGCATGTGTTTCTTGAGCTGGCTCATGGGTGCCAGCTGGAAGCTCGTGGGAAATCAAGGCTGCTGTGTCTGGGGAAGGAAGCCTTGGCACTGACAGAGCTGAGCCTTCATGCAGAGCGAAGGCTTCAGTGGGTTTAGCTGAAATATTCATTTTGCAGGCAGCACAGTAACATTGGCGTGGCAGATCAACCTGACAAGGGTGACACAGAGAAGCAGCAGCTTCCTTCCCTCTGGGGTTTACTGATTGTAGGAATCAAGGAAAAAAAGAAAAAGAATATTTTCCCTCCTTTCACTCTTGCAGTGGTTACCGCTGCCTCTGGGGTTTACTGATTGTAGGAATCAAGGGGGGAAAAAAAAGAAAAAAAGGAAAATTTTTCCTCCTTTCACTCTTGCTGTGGTTACCGCTGTGGTTTGCCATTTGCAGAGCTATATGTCCATTGGGGAGTACCAGGGCTTCAGCTTCCAGCCTTTTGGGGAGGAATCTGTGCTGCCATCCCTGCTGTGCGGTGGGGCTGCAACACTGGACTCAGGCTCATGCAGTTTTGCTCACAGCCGGCGTTGATTTGATTTAGTAGCAGCAGTTTTGTTCAGTTCAGAAGCCCGTGCTGCTATTGCAGTGACTGAAATGAGTCATCCTAAAATAGAGTACTATTTAATCTTAACAGCAGGAAAAAAAAAAACCAGGATTTTTAAGACTGCACAAAGTGCGTATCTATTTCAGTCTTTTGCAGGTAAAGCAAAACACTGAGACTGGGTCTTTTACTCCCTTCCGGCAGGGTCTATTTAAAAGAAATGCAAAAAATCCAAACAGATCTAACTTTTACTTTTTATTCCCTTTGCTCGCTTGCTGCTACATGCAGTGTGGTGAACTTTGTTAGGGGTTAAGCTCGGAGGCAAAAGGTTGGGCTTTGAGAGATGCCTGATGCCCACTCTTTGTCAAACTCCCAGTTTGTTTCCTAGCAGTCCTTGCAATTTCACGCGCTGTGACCATCTGGCAAATGTTCTGGGAACCCTGCTGGGGTACAACACACATTTGCTTACAGCTCGCTCCAAACCAGCCACAGCTTCTGGCCATGGCAGGTGACCAGTCCCTGGGGCAGAGGGAAATGGAAAAGGCAGGATTGCACAAACTGACAGCAGAGCCCCAGAAAAAACCAGAGATTTGGAATGCTGGACGCATCCTAAAATAACAGATAGCAACTGACAGTCAATGGAAGCGATGCTTTGTCTTTATCAGAAATTGAATTTTAAAAAGGGGATAAAATACAATTAAAATGGTCTCATGTGTTTGATTCTTTAAAGAGAGTGCAAAGCGGAGATGGGTTTAAATAACTCTGATGGGTAAGTGCCCAATCTGTCTGTGAAGGTTTTAACATGCACCTTACAGACATTGTTTCAAAGTGCTTAGCTTGGTCTTGAGCTCAGAAAGAGTGCAAAGCGGAGATGGGTTTAAATAACTTTCTGATGGCCCAATCTGTCTGTGGAGGTTTTAACATGCACCTTACAGATGTTGTTTCAAAGTGCTTAGCTTGCTCTTGAGCTCAGAAGAGCAACTGACAGTCAATGGAAGCGATGCTTTGTCTTTATCAGAAATTGAATTTTAAAAAGGGGATAAAATACAATTAAAATGGTCTCATGTGTTTGATTCTTTAAAGAGAGTGCAAAGCGGAGATGGGTTTAAATAACTCTGATGGGTAAGTGCCCAATCTGTCTGTGAAGGTTTTAACATGCACCTTACAGACATTGTTTCAAAGTGCTTAGCTTGGTCTTGAGCTCAGAAATGTTTTTCACCATGAGGACAGTGAAGCAGTGGGACTGGTTTCCCAGTGAGGTTGTGCTGCCTTCTTGAAATCCTTGAAGGTTTCAAGACCAGGCTGCTTAAAGCCCTGGGGACTCTCCCCTGCTGGATTGTCCTGTGAGCCTGTGATCTTCGTGTCCACAGCTGGGGCCTTGCTGGAGGCCTGTGTCAGGTAGAGAGGGCAAATTTCTTCCTGCTGCCTTCATTGTCTGATGGCTTGCCCCCCTGCTCATAAGTGCTCCTGTTTGGATGCCGGATGAGCTACATTGGTCCTTGGACTTGGAGACTTTTGCCTTCTCTGCATCTCTGAATCAGTCAAGTCCCTAATGAATGAGACTAATTTCCAGCTGCAAGTTTAATTTTGAAGGTGTTCAGTGGCTTCAGTGCTGTTTCTGGGACCAAACCTCAGTCCAGCTAATAACGCTGGCGGTTTGCTCCAGCAGACTGTGGCAGCACAGGGGGACAGTGAACCTCCTTTGCCCTTTCCTCCCCGGCCAGCCTGGTGCCAGGGTCCCTCTTTGCCATGTGGCTGCCACATGCCCTGTACCTGCTCTGCAGTCCCTGCTGTGTGTGGGCATGGCTGTGCCAGACCCCGCTCAGCTCTTGGCCCTGCTGTCCCCACGTATGCATTACCAGAGCTCTTGTGTTTTTATTTTTTTTGCCTGTAAATGGCAGCTCTGCTGCTTCTTGCAGGCTTTATTCTGTATGGGTGTGAACAGGGCTGCATGACCATCTGAGAGTAAAGGATGGAGGGATGCTCCACGCTGCACAGCAGCAAGAAGTTGGACATGACCCAGTTAAATGACGGACGATCCACACCTTTTGCAGAACGCAGGATGCCCAAAGCTTTAGCTTTCTTAAAACTCATGGCAGATAATTGAAGGTATGATCCTTATTGAGTAGTCCTGTGACGGGGGAGCAAAGATTCCTGACTACTTCAGCTATTTAAATCTAAAAGAATGAAGACACTGGATTCTGTGACTGTGTCTGTCTCTCCAAGTCCTCTCGCCAGGGGAAGGATGTAGCACATCCTGAGCCCCAGCCCCGGGTGTTAACATGGCAGCTCCTGCCAGTAACTGCACATGCTGCGTGCCCTCTCCTGCACTCTCCCACTGAGAATCGATAATTGAATTTCTTGCAGAACTGTTGTGTTAGTGTAGTACAAACTTCTCCTAATAGTCTAGTCCCCCAGCATTAGAGGAGAGCTTTATTGATCCAGTAGGCTGTGCCAGCCCCATGGCATGGCATTAAGTTAAGACAGCGTGTTTCCAGGTACGTCTCTATGGAAATAACCAGTCCTGTGGTGGAAGCTGAGGAGGTGGTATTTGAAATTGTGCTGTTGTTCTTGTTTGTCCACTTGATTTTATTTATATCGGCCCCAGCACCTGCCCATTCTTTTATTTCTTTGACTCTTCTTAAACAAAAAAAGACCAGAAGTGAGTTTTTGCTTCATGGCCTAGTTAGCATCTAGTCTGCTTACAAGTGCCCTCAAGCCCAAGCTGAACTTGTAACACAGCTGCTTATTGCCACAGTGGTGCCCAGATGATGGTGCTCTGAGATGCCCTGGGCACCCAGGAATCAGCTTGCAGAGAGTCTTCAGTGCTGAGCAGATCTCTCTCCTGCAGGGAAAGGGGTATTGCCACAGTGGTGCCCAGATGATGGTGCTGTGAGATGCCCTGGCACCCAGGAATCAGCTGGCAGAGAGTCTTCAGCGCCGAGCAGATCTCTCTCCTGCAGGGGAAGGGGCGGCCTCCATCCCCGGGGTGCTCCCAAGTACCCCATTTTCTCTTTCCCCATGTTTTCCATGCTTTCTGCCATGTCCCGCCACGAGGCACCCCACTCATCACCCTGGTCTTCATCTCTAGTCCCTGTTCCTGTGGGCTAGAAGAACAAGAGGTCATTGCAGCTGTGCTGAGTAGACCAGGGAGGAGGAGGAAATGTAGGAAACTCAGGAGAGGGAGGAACTGAAATCTGAGCAGTGCTGGCATTTTTTGGGTTTTGCCTTTTGAAGTAAATGTCAAGTGTACATTTTCATGGGAGTTCCTGGCATTTTGGTTGAGCCTTGATCCCTCTCCAGATGGGCTTATTAGGGTTTCCTAGTTACAGCTTTGTGTGCCTTCCTTTAAAACTTGGGGTTAGTTTATAACAGGGTTGATCTACACTGGCTTCATCCCCTACGTGAACATTCAGGTTTTTGTATCTAATCCTTTTTGCATGTCTTGTGCCAGTAGCATGGGACAGTTTACTGTGAGGACAGGAAAGTCTGCTAACTGGCCTCAGTAAGTGCAGATGAGCCTTCAAACAGTGGATTTTCCGCAATCTGGCTCTCCTTGGTGCTCTGTGTGAGACAGCTCTGTTCGAGGAGGACATCACGGCACCGTTTGTGCTTTATTTTGGTGGAAACCGTGTCGTTTCAGAAAGGGACGTACCTGCCTCAGACATACATAATCCAGGAGGAGATGATCGCGACCGAGCACGTCAGTGACATGGAGCAGCTCGGCTCCTTCATCTACCGCCTCTGCAGCGGCAAGGAGACCTACAGGCTGAAGCGCAGGAACGCCAGGAGACGTAAGAGCCTTGCCGTGTTCAGCTGCCCTAATTCATTTCCCCCCGCATCACAGTCCTTATTTCTGCTGTTACAGCCCTGCTGGCCTCTTCTTGGCGAGAGGGGAGGTTTCCCTGTGGGTGGCGTAAGGACACGGGAGATCTTTTGAGGTGTTTCCCATCTAATTAATCTAAACCCAAACCTGGGATGCTGCTGCTGCTGTGTTTCTATCGCTGCGCCTCTCAGCCTAATCGAAACATTGAGAAAACGGTTGCAGGAGCCAGCAATTCATTTACATGTGGGCTCCTGGGGATCAACTAATAGCAGTGCTGTTGGGAACTGTTTGGAAAATTTCCCTAATGGAGACACCCGCTTCAGTGGCAGCTATTCAGGGCAGGTTAGAACTGCAAATTGCCTTTAATTAATTAAGTTCCTAATAATATGGAAAAAGTTGTGAAGAGGGAATGTTAGACTACCTTAAAAGGATTTAATGAAAATCAGCAATAGATATCTTATATACGAATGGTAATATTGCTGGAAAAAACTCCTTAATTTCAGTATTTGTGTTTGTTTGGGTGTTGATGCTGGTGTACTTAAAGGTTTACCTGAAATGGGAACCTGCCATCAGTTTGGGTTTGGATCTGCGGGGAAGCTGTGGGGTCCTGAGAGCGTTTGGGTGCAGAAGTCACCATGGCTGTAGCTTGTGGTTGCTTTCCCAACAGGACGTGCTCAGTGGTGCCTGGGGCTGTTGGGGGGCTGTCTGCTGCCCTCGTGGTTACCACCGGGTCTGCCGTAAGAGGGGAGCAGCTGCCTGGCAGAGCTGCCCAGAGTTGAGGTCCTGCAGTTTATGGGCATGGAAAGCCTTACCTGTTTCCCAGAGAGGCTGAGGCCTTAGCAGTGTGTGCGGGGATACAAACAGCCAGAGGGGTGGTGGTTTTAAGCCCTCCTTGGCTGCATTCAGAGCTGTGCTCTGCACGAGCCTTTGTCTTCTGGCTTCATGAGGTTTTCTGGTCTCTGAGATAACGCTGAGATGCTGTCAGCTGAAACCTTCTCTTTCCATGCGGCTCCCCCAGTTCATGGCAGCTCTCCCTGCAGAACCATGGCCTAGAGAACATGGATATTCTTCCAAAGATGAGGTTATGCTGCTTTTCATGTGGGCTGTGTTGTTCCTGCATTTCAGCTGTTGTATCTCATCTGCTTTCCTTCCCCCACTTGCTGCAGCTGTTGTAGATTACAATTTGTTGAAATTTCCCTTCTCCCTTTCAATCGCTTCTAGGTATCAGTCGACGTGAGGCTGGAAACTGTCATCGTATTCGTCACTTTGAAAACACTTTTGTGGTTGAAACTGTTATCTGCAAAACATCATGAAGCCACTCTCCAGATGTAACCTTCCTTGGCTTTGCTTGCACACACGCACACACACGCTCTCAGCCCTCTCTTTAGACATGGTAATCTGTCTTACTTTTTTTACTCCCTCCCCTGCTTGTGCAGCTCTAACCTCTTGGGTCTGTTCTGGCCTCACAGTGGATTCTCTTCTTTCCCTGCTACCTACCTGAGACGTTTGCTGGGCTTAAATTTACACAGTGGTCAAAGATAACCTGGGAGTAGACGCAGCTACAGGACAGGAATCTCTTCTGGGAGCAGGTTTGGGGTAGAAGGGATGGCCAAGAAATAGGAGTGTTGGAAATAGGTGCTCTTCTCCTGGCCGAGTGATTTCAGGCTGGCGTAGTGCTTTGAGGCTGCCTTGGCACTGGGACAGAAGGTGTATGTACACAAGAAGAGTTACCATTTTGATGCTGATTTAATGACCAGAAATCCGTAACCAGGAAAAAAATTGTTGTGAAGCTACAGACAGGATGATTCAGAAAGCTCAGCAGAAAGAAGGTTTCTGCCCAAACCATGCTGTGCTGGTCCCAGCTTGCTGTGTGCTGTCCCCCTGAAGACCAGATTTTCAAACGCTGAAAGCAACCGCTCTGTGTTGGCTCTTGGGCTCGCCCCTCACCACGTCTCCTCCTGAGGCGTTCGGGGTGGGCAGGAGGACAGGGCAAGGGGCAGTGAGGTGGGCTAGGAATGACACAGCACGTCCCAGCTCCCTGGCCACAAAGCAGAGGGTGAAGTGCAAGGCTGTGTAGCCTTTTCTCTAACACACAGCTGCATCTGCTGTGGTCCCTGGGCAGATCTGCTGTCACTTTGCACAACTAAAGAAAGAGGTGGATCTTTGATTCAAGGTGCCAGAGCTCCACTGATGTCCCATCTATGGGCCGTGGCTGCGGGTGGAGCTGGGTGGTTTAATCTAGCCCCGTGTCTGTCCTGGCCAGCTCTGCTTGCTTGGAAAGATCTGTTACATTAACACAGGTCTTTCTTCCTGGGTTGTCGAGATCCCATCTGTGTGCAGATTGGGTGCCCTGCCTCCATACAAAGTGGTGTCAGCAGCAGACCTGGTGTTTACTGGCAAGTGCAGAAGCAGAATTTCTAAATTTTTTTTCTTTAACAGAGTGTGTATTCTTGTATAACTCCTCTGATGAAAGCTGTGGTGATAATAATTACTGTGGTCCAGCAGTGTATCACATTATCTGCAGGCACCATTGTAGTACAGATATCGATACGAGGCAAGATTCAGCTGATCGATAAACTGCAGAGAAATTGTGTGAACAAAACTGCATTTCTATTGATCATCAGACAGAAGAATTGCAGAGTAATTAAATATTCTTCCCTCTGTTCCATAAATATAGTTAAAACTAATTAGGTTCTTGAAATGCAGGCAGTTCTTTGGCTTGAAAGAATGGGGTGAGTTTCAACTTGGCACATTCTTGTTAATTGGTTTCCAGCATATCTGGACTTGTTCACCATCTGTTGAAATGAGCTTGTTGTTTTAGAAGAGGAAGGATAAAGTAAATGCAAGTACAATCATTAACTCAGCAGGACCAAAAAAAGTGAATATATTTTAGAATAAAATTTTTAAGTAATAATAGTGTGAGGTAATTATGTGAAAACAAAACAGGGTCTCAGAAGGGTCATGTAATGCAATAGGAATTAGTGTGTCCTTAGTGGCTGAGAATTTGGTTTTTTGTATAGACATAGTCAACTATGAACACTACGTTTTAACAGGTAGAGGAGGACACTTTGGTTTTATTCTGCTTTAAGCTTGGTGTAAAATGAAGAATTGCGTGTACTTCATGCAGGTTGGTAAGGAAAGTCTCCCACTGCCAGAGGGAAATTTGCTTTTCTAGCATTGTGTTTTTCCAGCGATAACTTGCTGCCGGCCCGTACTTTTTATTGCGGAGCGGATGACAAGAAGGGTCAGAGGATGGGTTTGCTTAATGGAAGTACCACAAACTGGTAAATTTAAGCCCCGCGTTTCTCTTCGTTTCTAGGAACCTAAGCCTGCACTCAGGTGAGCATACAGACCTTTTCCCCTTCCTTCTGACTCTGCATGAATTAACTGGTCATTGAATATGCTAACTGTGCAACCCCGCAGCTGTAAGGACAAACCTTGGTTCTTTAAGGTGAACTAACATAGTCACTGTTTCATAGGATGAGAATGCAGTTGTCTAGAAAGAAAACATAAGATGCTTTGTATATTTTGTCTGGTAGGACTCTTACTTCTTAGGAAAAATCCATGGGATAATAAAATCTTTTACCTCTGATACGTACAGCGTGTGTTTGTTCGGAATGAAAAGCACGTGCCCTCCAGGAAGGTGTTGCTCGGGGGAGTCAGCAGCCAGGTGGCCCTGGAGCAGCACACCTGGTGGCATCTTGGAGCTGGGCAGTGGGAGGGTGCTGTGGGGTGGAGGCCTTTCCCCATGGTGATGGCAGACCTGCGTGGGGACGTGACTGAGCCCCCAGGTGCCTGTCCCTGCAGGCTCTGATGGGCTTTTCCCCTCTCCCTATGCTTCCCTGGCAGACCCAATTGCAGCCCTTGCTGGGGAAGTCACTGCCAAACTGAGGTCTGTGAAGCAGCAAGATGGCTCTGCTGCTTGGGTGGCTTGGGGGTGTCTGATCTTCATGCTCAGCCTTGTTTCTCCAGCTGCCTGACTTCTACCTAGCAATTTGTCTGTTTGCCTGTGGCCTAACCCTGCTGTTGCCTTCTGGCCAGCTCTCCAGGACAGGCCTTCAGAGGGCTGCCCTCCTCTCCTCACTGCACGCAGCGAGGTGGGTCCGTTAGTGTTCTTCCGAGCTTGCTGTCCACCTCTTTCATCCTTCTGGTGGGGAAGCATCAGAATATTGTTCCTGAACTCGACTGTTCCTCTTTCCAAAATGAGTCAATCAATGAGGAAGTTCACGTTTCGCTTGCTATGGTCATTTTGCTGCATTTTGCATTTATCTCTTCAGTATCTGGATGCTTTTTCCATTATTGGGGTTCTGCAGAAGAGATCTGCATCTCGCAGTAACTCTCTTTGCCAAAGCCTCTTCTCCTGGGCTGGCCCAGCCAGCTGTGCCCAACAACCCTCTCCCTCCATCGGCACTGGACTGAGGAAGCCGCTCTGCGTCACCTCACGGGGAACCTGACTCCTTGGGACATTTCCACCTTTTGAAGGTGATGCATTTCAGTAAATCTAGTTACATTTAAACATAGCCACATTGAGACTTGTCCAGTGTGAAGAAAACCAACTTGTATTGTGAAATTTTGCGTTTTCTTTTGAACTTAGTTTTTCATTTCTTGAGGTTGTGGCAATCGCCCCTTGTTCCTCGGAGACTTGAAATAAGTCAGTTCTGCTTCCTGATCTCGCTCACACTCTCTGGCAGAAGCTGCTTTATTTGATTGAACAGGGGGACATACAAAAGCTTGGCAATAAAGCCAGCTGTAGGAAGACACTGTGGCAGAGATGCAGTTGAAACCCTAAGATACGGGTTGCTGTGATAGCAGGTAGCACCTAATACAATTTACCTTTTATTTTTGGTACTTGCATATTACAGTATGTCTCAGGGGTTGCTGTGTAGCTTTTCCAGGCAGTGCTAAGTCAGTCAAAGTTTTGGGTTAACTGTAGGAGCATCTGCGTCCAGACTCTGGTGGATTTTCTAAAAAAATGTACTGGAAACCTATTAAATGAGCAGTTGAGAGGAGGAACCTCGGTGTGTATTCTAAAATGTAATTGAGCTCTTGATTTGCCACAAGTGTTTTACAGCTACTTTCACAGTCTGGTCTCATCCCATAAGGTGCAGCCCATTAGGATTTCTGCAGACTTGGCACGAGGAATGTTTTGGCCGCGATGGATCGCAGAGGCTCCAGCATGGAGGCTGAAGGACCTGTTTCTTCACCAGCATGATGGGCACCCCGTTTTTGGTGGGGAGAATGGCTGCATCTTGTTGATGTATTGCCCGTGCTTCTGGGCAGGTGGCGGGAGGGCTGCTAGATCCTTTGGAAGGGGACAGCCAAGCATGGCTAGTGGGGCACGTTTGTCCACTGCCAGCCTGCCGATGCCACGAGGCAGGGGAAGCTCTGTGCTCACAGGCATCCCACGCAGCAGCTCTGCCAGGGGTTGACTGCCTGCTGCCAGCATGGATGTGGGGTGGCTGGTCCACAGTGTGTCCTGGGTGTCTGAAGGGCTGTGCTGCCCACACTAGTTTGGTACGAGCAGCAGGAAGGTGCTCTCCACAAATCACCTGTTGGGTTTGGGGATGAATAGGGATTATTTGGCCACTTCTATGCTGTGAAGAATGAAATTACCTGTCAAGTGTTACCCTGTGAAATGGCTCCCTGCTGCACATCTCTGGAAATTGAGCAGTGCCCAATTTATTATGGTTTATAAGACTTTCAGTTGTCCTTACTGGGAATTGACTACAGCCCGTTTAGCTCAACGTGAACAGCTGTCTGATGTATTGTGTTGGTGCCGAGCTAGTGAAAGCCTGTGCTCACTCTTAGATGTACTTTTGTATGCACCTTGGGATGTCCAAGTTGTTCCCAAGTATTTTGCTGCCATCGTTCTCATTTCCGCCCTGGTCATTATAAAAGTAAGTATGTGGGTGCTTTCATAGCTTCCCAGATCAAGAAAACTATATAATCTACCAAAAATAGCATTCTAAGTTAGTGTCCCAGGTCTCAGGAAAATGCCAGTTTCTCGTTATTTTGGCAAGTACAAATCCTGATGGTGTCATTCATGTCCCAGTGAAATCCATGAGGTGCTGCAGGTCCATTGGAAAGAATGTTTTCTGCATTAAATGAACAGAAAGCAGACTTTGAGGGGAGAGAATCACTAATAAATACGGATTGAGCTTTAGTGAATATTTTCAGCTGAAAAAAAAAGAAGCATAAAAAGGTAGATGGAAGCACCTAAACTTCCTGATGTTGAGCTGAAGCATTTGTTTTAATATTTTAGTAATTAAGTTATTGTTTCTTGTTTTGAAACAATTTTTATCTAAAAATACCGAATTAAAATGGTAAAGTAACATGGGAATAAAACAAATGCTGTTCATTTTGTGTAAAAAAACCCCCAAAACCAAAAAGAAACACCAACACTTATGTTGACCAGAATGTCAAAACATTGATACCTTTTTTTTCTTTTTAAATTTGCTTCATACCCCAACAGGAAAAGTCCCTTATTTTCTCTCCAGTATCCAGGCTTACTGCCAGCAGAGCCCAAGGCGGCTGGAAAGGGAACTGGAACCTGGAGCGATATGTGGACCATCCAACTTGTCATACTGAAATTAGGAGCCGTTGCTTCCTAGAGAGTAAGGAAATCTCTAAGGGATGATTTTGAGTGCTCAGTTTAGGAGTTTCTGCATACCTTAGTCTCCTAAATTAGACATTATGCGCACCCTTGTGCGTCAGATACTTTCAGTGACTGGTATATTTAAAACAAGACTGACTTCAGGATGGGATGATGCTGGCCGCTGGTTTTCCTGGCTGCTGAATACATGGCCCCTTGTACGTAGGACACTTCTGCTTCTCTGCGTGAGGACTAGACCTGCTTGTTCTGAAATGCAGCTGGCTCTGACTTGCTGTGTCTGCAGGTAAGGAGGTAAGTGCTGAGCAGAAATACCAGTTGGGTGTCCCTGCGTGCTGGCTTGTGGCTGCTGCTTTCACAGGCTCTGTTGCATTAAAGGCAAATCTCTTCATTTAAGTTGGAGCCACCTCCACAGCACTTCAGCTGGTCACTGAGTGACCTTTCCTGTCGCCATGACCTCCTTTCATATAGTCCCTTTTCCATGGGATCCTCCCAGGTCCCAGGTGGATCTTGTGGGGCAGAGCTCTCCTAAACAGGGTGATGTGGGGCAGTGCCCCATCACAGGGGATGGGTCCCCAAGAGGTGTCTCCTGACAAAACACCTGCAAACGGAACCGGTGCAGCACATCCCAGGGCCCCTCCATCACTGGGCTGTGACCCATGGGAGGATACTGCAGAGGTGATAGAATGGACAAGGCAGCCTTGCAACTGGGACTGATGATACATACTCACACACCTCTTCTGTAGGCAGGTCAGGCCAGAGGAGGGGCTGGACCTGAGTGCCTTAGAGTGGCAGGCAGAGCACAGGGTGCAGGGACTGCTTGACAGTTCCCAGGGCTTCAACCCCTTCACTCTTGCTAACATCTTAAAAGAAATGGGTGGGTTGAAGAATAAACAATCAGCCATTCCCTTAAGTTTGCTGAGAATATTTGCTCTGGGAATATTATTTTTCATAGTGAATGTGGAATGTGTTTGTGCCAGCTCTAATTAACTGTTCTTGCTAGCACAAAGATGTTCTCCAGTGGAAGCCAGTATGTTATTCTATTCATTTGGATTAATTAATGTGAAAAGGCCAAGTATGTAATTTCATACTTGAACTTTCAGATCTGTATTTGAATTGAATTGAAATCATGTTTTGCAATGATTGAAATATTCTCATAGTCTGACCGAGGAAAGAAGTTTCAAAAAAGAAAACAATGTTAAAGAAAACCTCTCAAAATTTGTTGTCTTTTAAAGAGATTTCTTTAGGATATCATTCTGTTCCCCCATTTGTTATTCATGGAGCAACTTGTTCTCAGTAAAGTAACAGTAAAGGCTTTGGATCAGGCCCCAGCTCATTTCTCACTCTTTTCAGATGGTGCTTTTGTGATGCTAGAACTACAGTCAGTCCTGCTCCAGAAATTGTTGCATGTTAAAACTCCAAGAAGCAGCTACATGTTTACTTGCTTTGGCACTGTGGATACATGGGGCTGCCTTCTGGAAATGCCGTTATGTCAGCAGCCTTGTCAGAGGGTTGTCCTCTGCAAAGTCTGCAGAGGTTTTGAGGGGTGCAGCTTTCTGCTGGCCCCCGGGTATCTTCTCCTGCTGGCATGGCTGGGTCAGCCTGGGAAGTGCCTGTGGGCAAGTGGGCAGTGACTTAGCAATGCACATCATTGAGGAATTTGGCAAGCTGGGTTTGAGAACTGAAAGAAAATTAACAGCTCTGTGGTTTTGAATGTATAGCGGCCTTTGTGGTAATTAACCCAGTAGCACAACCATGTTAATGGTCTCTGTGGGAGAGTATTGGAAATTACAGACCCAGTGAAGTTGCCCTTTAGAGGAAGGTTTGGACCTGACACAGCTGTGGTTTTGGTTTTGAGTGCTGAAAGTAGCAACTTTAGGGCAGCATTTTACATAAGTTTGGTCTCCAAATGGGCTCATCATTTTGTAGGCGAAATATCTGGGAGCAGTCTGGTAGACTGATGTGCTGTTATACAGCTAAACAC